TGGTTTGGACGAGGATGTATAAAAATTCCATGAAACACATACGAACAACAATTTTTTTGTCATACGGTTCCTCATTTTTCGTACTCTAATTCGTTCCTTTTTCAAAATTAAGCTTGTTTGTGGGGCCTTTTATTCTTTGGTGACACTTTCAGGAACTAAATAGTGGATTTAAAAGGAGTTGAAAGAAACTTTGGGTTTTTGACTAGTGACTCTACTTCACCACAGCTTTGACTTTTTTTTTTTGTTTTTTTGTTTTTTTTTTTGACGCAGTTAGCTTTTACTGTCTACATTTTTTCAAACGGAAGAGTTAATCCACACGAACATGATCTCCTCCATTCCCCTGTGACAGGATCCTGCGAGTGTCCGCTTTCAGGAAATACATGGCAATGTCCCTCACCAGCAACACTCGTTTTGCCCTCTACAAAGACAATAGGAAGGAAAACGTTAAAACTGTTCTATTTGATTGTGTAGTCTGACCGTCCATAGGAGAATTATCGTGAAAGGAATTGTTGTCGATATTAAAATACAGAGCGTGTGAAAGTGACGACTAACCGTACATAAAGGGCATGTCTGAAAACATCTCGCGTATCCTACAACCCTTTACTATCTGCGTCATCGCTCACAATCCCTTCACTACGCAACGTCAGTTACTGCCAATAACGTCAAAGACAAGTAAGAAGAACAGACAGGGAGCAGTTTATAAAATAAATTGCTACAACTGCCAAGCCTCCTACATCGGAGAGACTGGCAGAAACCTCACAACAAGACTGACTGAACGCAAGCGAGCGACGAAGAAAGGTGATTTCAACAATCACATTGCTGAACATTATCGACTTATGAACCACACTTTTGACTGAGACTCTGCGCAATGGCTAACCTACAGCCCTAACTACTTTCAACGACTGACTCTGGAAAGATGGTTTACTAACTTAGAACAGACTCCCCCAACAAGTGTCAACTACTAACAGCAGCATACAAACGACTTCTACAAGACGTGTACATCGCCAAGGAACAGAACTTTAACGTTACCGACGGATCGAAACTGACCAATCACGACCGACTTAAGCAACTTAGTTTTACAAAGTGGCCAATCAGTTTAAACGAACCGTCCATTCAACTGAGAACAACTATTTGCTTAACTCTGATTATGCTTCCGCTCAGGTTGTCGAAACATCATTCACTACTGACAACAGTCCTTCTCAGGACTACACTCATCCGGAAAATCAGACAACCCTCTCCCAGGTTCAAACAGTTGACTGTATCCAAAAACATAGCGTTACCTTGTCTGTTTAGAGGCCATGAAACTGAAGCGTCTGTGACAACCTCATCCCCTTGGCTCGTGCTTGGTGTTTCAATTTTGCTAGTGTCCTGCAAAGAAGGCCACACGAAGAACAAATTTAAGAACCAAAACATACTTCTCAACACTATGCCAAAATTTCCATGTAGAAGCTAGGGTCACTATTGTGAGCCTTTTTTTGGTTCAACATACATTGATTTATCTAATTAAAGTTATCACAAGAAATACGACCAGCCACAACAGTATCCATTTCTAGTACTACAGTAACTTATTCCAGATAATCATTTTATGAGGACGAGCAGAGAGGCAGGGCGACGAGAAAAAAAAAAGATAAAACCAAGGAGGGTTTCATTTAAGCAAAAGGGCGATGGATTCTCTCCTTCGATTTTTCTTCGCCCAACTTTCAAAGATAAAGACGAGAAGGCTGAGATTGATATATTCTACCACTAAATAGAGGGACTGAATGAAGCCCTACCTCTGTGTCGTATCTTTTCTTGAGTCTCTCACGGATTAACAACGACCTCGTCAAAAGTTTCCAGTTGGCCAGCATACGTTTCTCGCGCTTCTGTGAAAATCAAGACACACAAAGCAAACACACAATCAACTTCTCTTTTCACGATCTTTATAGAATCGCATAATTGGACAAAATCTCGCATTCTGATTGGTTAACGAAGTGAGGTATTTAGCGTGGAATTGCGGGTCGAAAACGAGGCTAAGTGATATTGTTTCGCATTTTTAAATAGTTGTTAAGAATACTTAAAAGTATACATAACTATTAGTAATGCTGTTTCCTTTTTTCTTATTTTTATTCAATTATGCGATTCAAGGAAAATCTATCTCTTGACACGTGAATTCCACGTGGTATTGCACTCCAAACCAATATCGCACAGATCGCTTCGCGATTCGTGCGAAATCAGTTTTCGCGTGCAATTTAATGCGGAATTCCCTCGTCAAGAAATGAGTTTTCCTATAATACCCAACAAACAGCTGACAAATGAACTAATTAATCACATGGTTTATCTTGTTACAATAACAAATTCAACTAAATAACTTAAAAGGAAATCTATGACAGGTGGTTGGGAGAGAATTAACCATCAGACCTCTGCTTTTTTCTTCTCTGCTTGTTGTTCTTCTTCATGCCACGCATCCAGCAACGTTTGCTCATATTCCTCACACACCACAACACCGTCAATACTGAGAAAGAAGATACATCCAGAAAAAACTTCGATCATTGCCAGCTTTGAAATACAACACTCTGCGTTGCCCAGAATGCATGTTGTTCCCCTATCCATTTACTTCCAGTACAAGAAGGCTTACACATCTGTTATACAGTTTCCTATTAGGCATTTTCCTATCAAAGCGCATAGAGTTCAATTTTAATGCGCTATATAAGAACATATTATTATTAAATTAGACTCTCAGAGCTTCAGTCAGAGGTAGCCGTAAACACAGCACGATACTCATTGGTTTGATGAAAGTGAAAACAGAAAAGGTTAAGTGCCCTTACGTTTCTTTCATTGCTTGTCAAAATTTCACAAACACAAACAAAAAAAACAAAAAAAAAAACAAACAAAAAAAAAAATTCGAGAGAAAAACTTTCTGCAGTAACAAAATGGTGGACGCTTCTTTCGGAAACATTTCCTTACTTTATACTTACACAGGATGGCTAAAACCACAGTGAAAATCAAATCCAATCACAGCCTGAGCACAATCAATGCCGAGTTTCTTCGCCACCCGTTGGATACCGTTAACTATCAAACAAAAGAATTGATGATAAGTGCGACCATCCATCTCACATTGTTGAAAAAGAGTTGGCTTCTGCTTCCAGGGCGTCCGTCCTCTCTCCTCCTCCCTCTCTCACCCTCCTCACCCTCTTCTCCTCTTTCCCAACCTTAGCCTCCTCCCATAGCTCCCTCACCCTCTTCGCCCTCTTCCCCATCTCTCCCTCTTCCCTCTTTCCCCCTCTACACCATAATATCTAATTCCTTCCTTTACTTACGAGTAAAAATTCGTGTTTATAGAAATTACTAATACCACGAAAAATGTCTCGTTCGGAAAGAAAAGCAACATCCCATACAATTGCCGTTTACTTTATCAAGCCCACCTCCTACCCTATTGCTACAAATGCAAGTCATCTCCCACCTTCTGCCGGCGCAGAAAAATGAGGGTGGCGTCTTCTACCGTACGACTGATAGAACCGACACTTACTAAATGATACTAGAAACTTACTTTGAATGTGCTTCGTTCCGGGTGGCAGCATACAAGGCTGGAATAACTCTACATTACCATACTCATTCCTTGGTACTTTTCCCTGAAGCCAAAAAGATTCAAAAAAGATATTTTGTTTTACATATACATAATTTCCTTCTCTAAATGCCGAGAAACTCGTTTTAAAAACTTACATCTTTCGCTGGCGGCGGTTTATATTTCTCTGTTTGCCATCTGCCAAACAAGTCAATTGTGACCGAATCTCGCTCATGGATTGGTTGGTTCTGAGTAAACAAACAAAAAAATTCAATCAAAAACTTACAACCTCGAGTAAACGTTTAAAACTCTCAACATTCAAGGACATAATAAGTGTTCTTACCCTTTTAGGCCGTCCTTTTACTATCTTGTATGGTTTTTCCCCTTGCTAACTTAAGAGGAGTACAAAATGAGTTAAAAGAAGAAATAAAAACATCTGCAGTTTGTTTTGATTAAAAAGCACTCATTCGTATACGTAGGAACTGATAAAGAAATGCAGTAAATGGTTTGAACCCGGGGGTAACATGTGAAGGTGTAGTCTGATCGTCCGGGTGAGTGTAGTCCTGAGAAGGACTGTTGTCGGTGGCAGTGACTGACGTTTCGACAACCTGTGCGGATAAAGAAAAGTATCACTTGCCTTCACAACCAAAGCCTCATTCAACCACTTCTCTCTTGTGTGGAGCTAGAAAAAAGTTTGAAAGAAACTGTGTATCAAGATAAAGCGCATTTCAATCGAGAGTCGGAATCAAAACCAAAGCAATCACAATAGTCTATCAGGAGAAGGGAAAATAACACAATCAGCCGATGAGAGCTCAAAGAAAAACACGGGTGACCAGGTCACAAGTGGTGTTAGTTTAAAATCTGATTAATCGCGAAGGTGGCGCGAGTTTACTAAATCAATCACACACTGAGCGTAGCTAAAGGTAAACCATAGCAAACCCGGCTTTAACCTTTGGACAATCTATTGGAAATTTCTCTAACGACAGTCTAGCGATTGTAAGATCAACAAAAATCCTCACATGATCAACACATTTTCAAGCAGAAACGAGATGAGAAGAAAGAAAAATACCATAAAGGAGATATTGCTTGAACTGACGCCAAATCCTGAAAGTGAGAGGAAGAGTTTACTCACCAAATGGACACACTCTCTCGAGTAGACTGCTTCACCGCGGCAGTATCCCAAAATGGCTGCAGTTTCTGGGTATAAGCCTGAGAAATCAAATTCATAATGACAACAGTTACTTAACACCGATTTAATGCGCTAATTGTGTTTGCATTTACAATTTTAGGGACTTCCACTGCACAACGCTAATGGACAAATAACTGTGTGAATGAAAAAAGAAGTACTACGCCGATAAACAACGACAAATTCGAAGGCGACAGCTGAATTTCGATAAATGATAAATGCTACAAGACAAACTTCAAAGTGTAACAGGCAGATGACGAATGTCTACATTAAATGCTGTATACTTTTTGCTAACCTTCAAACTTAAGGAGATGTCTCTTCAGTACATAACTGTAAGAAAACAAAAAGAGTAACAGTCATCCTTAGAGGTTGTAGTTAAACTTCCCAAGATCAGATGAGTGGCTCTCCCTCTTTGCCTCATCGTGGGTACAAGTCGTAGGTCGTGGGTGTGGGTGTGGGTAAAAGTCGTGGGTGTGGGTGTGGGTAAAAGTCGTGGGTGTGGTTAATACCTAATAATAAAAATAACCATTTAAAATATTAAATATAATAATACATGAATTTTATACAACCCCGTCATTCATTAATTTAACTGTTCTTTCTTCAAGTTATTTTATTTTGTTTATTCAATTTACCCTATTTTACGTTATTTTTATCTGTTATCTCACTACCAATGAAATTAGTTTCAGTTTCGCGACGGGAAGAGAGATAAATCTTGTAACTACACACTGTGTACACGTTTTTCGAGCTGTGCGGTCTGCGGTCTGCGGTCTGCGTTCTGCTTTTT